CTGTAGCAAGTATTGGAGTATAATTCTTAGGGCAATAACCCATCTTCATCAGGTTTTTGTTCAGTTTCCCTGGTCCCTTGTTTCTCTCCTGAACAATAATGTAACTTCGCTCTCTACACCCAAGACATCATATCGACTTGTCACACACAATTGTAATTGAATATGTGACTCAAAATTATTATTATTATTGTTTCTAAGAAATGACTTAGTTAAGGGTGGGAAAATGCTGTTGTCTATAACTACAACACTTGACGTAGTAATCATATTAATCATGTGACAGTATCAACAGCTCACTACAAACAATTCACATACAACGATTAAATTCAATGCAAAAGTTTAAGTCTCAAGTAAACTCTTTTATGCTGGACATCTGTTTCTATACAATTAGAGTCTACCGAGCATCCAAAAGGAAAGTCATATTTATTTCAACAATGACATTTATTGTATTATTTACCTTTAGGATTGTATAATTCTAAAGAACCTGTAACAAGTATTGTACTTCAGCTCCTGGGTCAATGACCCCATCTCGATCAAGTTTTCATCCAGTTTCCCTGATCCTTGAGCCACTAATTTTGCTTCTGTAAACTCATCTTAAAATTAAAAATAATGTAGAAATTATTCAACCAAAAAAAAACAACCATATCAGTTCTCGAAAAAACACATGCCAATATTCATATTAAAAAATAATTATAAAAATAAATAACTGTTCATGATAATTATAGTGATAGACATAAATTTAACTTCAAATTAACTTCTCCCCATGGCACGTCACACACAAGTTTTGTACGGTTTTTGACCTATATAAATAAATAGATATTTCCTTACATTATAATCTTTAACAGAATATTCACAGGAACTGTAAGTGTTTAGGAGATGTTTACTCTATAAATTGAAATGAAGCAATTTGCTTCTTTCTCAATGAAATGATGAAAAAAACAGTGGCGTTTCAAAACGGCACAGATTTTTTCGCATTAATTAGCTATCCAATCCCTTTAGTCTAGGCAAGCTTTTGCATATTACCCCACCCTCGTACGAGCCGCTACCGATTGGTATCAAAGAGATTTTCTCAATTTTTCAGTTCCTAATCGTAGAATTAAAATAGGACTTAAAGAATATTACATATGAGTAAAAAATAGTCCTAAATGCAAATTCTTATTGAAAAATTTGGAGCCATTCTTCAGAAAATATGTGTGCATTTCTGAAAATGCGCAATTTTTACAGAGAGAAAATACATTTTGTTCTCACATAAATTAGACAACTATTGTCATCTTAGATGTTAATCTTTTTAATATGCAAATGCATTACTTTTCTATCTTGTACGATAAACTACTGTTATTCCTTACAGACTGACAGAGTTCCACTGGCAGTCAGTACAGCCAAACGGAAGCAGCAGCTGGATCCTTTCAAAATAATACCAAAAGCAACAGAGACAGTCAATAAAAATGGTTGTTTGCTTGCCTTGACAAATGATCCATGTTCAGGTAAAAAATAAGGTTTTATTTATTTAATGTAGATAGTAAATGAAGGATTAGTCTGTTTCATTGGAGAACATTTTTAGCATGCTCATAAAAATCTGTCATTATTCTCCACAAACAAGTTCTGCAATGCAGTAGGTCCATATTAAAATTCAAGTTTTACAACATAGAAGTAAATAAAAATCAAGCAAAAAACATGAGGGCTAGGTGTGAAATTAATCCATTGCTCTTAACTTAGTCATACAATTTTGGCCACTTCATTTGGTTGTTTGCGAATTTACCACATCATGAACAGTAAAATTGCTTCCAATTTTTGAGTTTATATACTTAATCTTCGTGCCATTCTATCATTCATAACATAATTTTATACTTCTATTAATAATTTTTTTCTGAATGAAAATATTTATTTGAAATCTTTTTCTATTAATTTACATAGGATGCACGGCTGTACTACATGAAATGCAGAAACTGCTCTCATCCAAAATAAAGGTACATAATGGCAAATACATTTGGGCGAATATTCAACAAGAGCTAATTTGGGCAGAAATAAGCAAAAGGAATGCAGAATTTCAAATCAATAACAACGCTAAAAAGATGAATATTGAGCATCTGCTCAATTCAAATGCAGATTCAAGTCACTCAACAGCAACATAAGGAACAATATTGAAACAAGATAATATTCTCATACATAACAGTAAATAAAAAGAAGCGCAGTAACTACGAAAGTAAAATAAGTACAAAAACATAATCGAAGGATCAGTAAAATTTTGAACCACAGTAGTCTTGCAATATTTGATATTAATAATTAAAATCAAATATCTTGAAACACAGAATAGATTAATAAATGTCATTGATAACTGTAAAACCACAAACATAGCTATTAAATATAGGTAATATATACCTTCCAATTTTGCATTTTTTTTTTATAATGTAAGTAATCTAGATGTTATTCTTATGAAAAATATTTGATATACACATATTTTTTGATCAAGAAAGCAAAAAAACTGAGAGGAATTAGCCTTGTCCCTTTTGTAGTAACAGTTGACAATAGGGACAGTATTGTTCACTTGGCTCTGGGAGCAATTGGACATAAAGAATTCAAGGTTCAATTCATGGTTGGTGGTGACAAAATATTTGATAATTCGAAGTCATGTCCTAGCCAGTATTCAATTGAAGAGTTGGACTTTGCCCTTTTTTAAACTATGTATAACAAATATGCTATGCTTTTGGAACTAAACACAGACAGTTTTGAACTCAAGCATTCAGTGGTAAGTTGTTAATTTTTATTATTTTTTAAAAATAATTCTTGATGAGACAAGTTTTTGTTGCTTTAATATTGAAAGTTAATTACATGCTTTGAAATTATTTTTTTGATATTTTATTTCCCAGCTGAAGCAGTTAATTCTTTGAGCAGTCAAAATATAACTGCATCAGCCTTTAATTGTTTATCATAGAATGTAAACAAGACATTGTTACATTTGGATTATATGAAGTCAGTGTTCCTGAAGTTATTCATATACAAATTAACAGCCGAACTGTACAGAGTAACTCTCACAAAATATATAGGAGTACATATCGACTGTCATTTTCGATAGAAAGAACAAGTTGACTCTAAGTAAACAAACAAAACAATTACAACTAGATAGGTGCTGTTTGCTACTGTCAAAATTTATAAACCATAAATTCTAAATTAGTATTTATCACAGGCTATTTAACAGTATTGACACCAATTATTCCTGGGGGGGTGCTTACTTTAATATTTGGAACCCATTACTACCAATACAAATTAGAATACTGAATATATTTCATAAAGTCACAATCAGCCTACTAAATCTTCGACTATAATTGAGTTTTGCTGTAGACACTTAGTTTCTATGAGTTGTACAAACATTACTTTCTCAAAAAGCCTTACCAGAAATAAAAATCAAATATTAATATGTGCATGCACACACATTTCATATACGTACATTGAACGAGAATCTCTTTAAAATTTCTTACATGAATTGAATGCAAGTTTCAGTTATTTCCATTAATATTACAGTGTTATTTCCATTTACAAACATTGATTAATTTTTTACACAGGTAATATAACTAACAATTAACAACCTCACTACAGCTTGCCAGTCTGATATCTTTAAGAATCCTCTTTTAATATTATAAAATTAACAAACATTCTCTCCCAAATTGTATGAAAGTTTCCTGAATGTATTTTGAGTTTAAGAAGTTAAATTGGTTTACAAAATAAAAATAAAAAATAAATATGGAAATTCTATGCACCCAAAATTATTCCACAAAACCATAATTTAATTCACCATTTTACTTATCAACAATGTGAACAAAATTTTAAAATTTACACCTCTTCATTTTTATCCTCCTTAATAAGAATAAAATAAGACTAATACTGAATTTGAAGTTTAGAATGAAAATTCTTCTTTCTAACATTTAAGAATTTTCTTCTATTTCCGAATGCTACAAACTTTAAAATATGTAGCTTAACAAACCTAAAACAATGTTAAAGCAAAAACCTTTTGTAAGAAGTATTTATAACCACGAGTTATGTAATTTCTGAACTTGTTCAAAGGTTCATTTTTAAACACCTACATAACACTGACCTTTAAACTTTCAACTTGCACACAAAGTAAACAACACTGATATGTTATTAAAAGGTGTGAAGAAAAGACTTAAATGAGTTAAACTTCATGCAATATACTTTCTACTCTTTGATTTCTCTTTGAAATCAGCATGATCAGAAAGAGGGGTTTTAACATGCACATACTTTAAGGTTCTAATTTTAACCTGACATAAATACATCAAGATTATTTCTATTATTAATTACACACAATCGATTTTCATCAAATACGATTTGTATTAAAATACAGAATGAAGGAATGGAATGTGGAACAACAGATCTAAATGTAGTAATTCCATAATTCATTGAAATTGAGCATTCTTAAACTTTCGGAACAAGCACACGAGATATGCCTAAAAATGTTAAATTCTTTTACAAAACAAAGAAAATATTTAGAGAAAGTTAATTTTCAAGACAAAAATTTCAAAACATATTGACTAGTAGTTAATAATTTTGATATGTTGCTCCGCAAATGATATCTGAGAAGGCTTAAACAAAAATGAAATAGCACATTATGTCCACCATTTCATTAAAAATTCCATACAAAATAGTACAATTGCACAAGTCACATTTCAATAATACATAGTTTCAACAAACATATGAATAACTATAAAAATGTACAAAAATAGCTTATTTACAATTTTTAAGACTTAAATTTACTTTCATCACCATTTATTTACACGAAGTCAATATATTTAGACTATTTCACATAAGAATAAAATATAAACAGACGATCAGCTCACAATAAACTTGCAAAAATAAATGTCCTAAGTTCAATAAATTATTCCACAAAGAAATCATTCACATTAATGTCAGAATATGTTGATGTAAATGAAGTCTATGTAAAAAAATTATTAGAAGAAATACACACTGATAAATTTACCAGAAACTACTCTTCAAAGTTTTGATTTTAGTTGTCCCATTAAACCTTCCAATTTCATTGCTTTCTGCAAGTTGCCTTTGATTTTCAGTTTTCCTGACATAAATGCAGCAGTTGGTCTCAACTTACCAGAGAACATTTCAAAAAAGGATTGGCGATCCATTGTAAGTGTTGCGTCAGGATCTGCAGAAGGTTTACCTTTACCTGCAGAACCGCTACCATTCTTCAGGTCAATAAACCAAGGTTCTTCTGCAGAACCATCTTTCAAATTGAACTGGAAAACAGCTCCTACTTTAGAAACTAAGCTGTTGCTCAAGCTTCCCTGAATCGATGAGAATAATTTTTCAATATCACCGCTGCCACTACTTGCACTTGATGCCTTGCCTTCTTTAGCTTGGCTTGCAAGAATAACATCTGGAGGAGTATCCAGGAAAAAGTCATCCATCAAAGAATCAGCATTCTCTGGGTTAACAGCATATTGCTTGAAATCTGTAATTCCTTCTTCTTTTAAAATTTGTTCATCAATAAGGAATTTACCTGTAATTGTTTTAGAATCTTTGGTAAGTATCACATATGCCGCATCTGACATAATTTCCGGCTTTCTTGAAAAGTTACCAGAATCTGGCCCAGACAACATTTCAATAGCTGCAGTGTGGATGGCGGTCCTTGGCCATAATGCATTGACAGCAATACCATCACTTTTAAATTCCTCAGCCATGCCCAGCACACACATTGACATTCCATATTTTGCCATTGTGTACGCAACATGGTCCTTAAACCAATGCGGTACCATATTCAAAGGCGGACTAATGTTCAGAATATGTGGGTTCTTGGATTTTTTCAAATACGGAAGACATATTTTAGAGGCAAGAAATGTACCTCTTGTATTAATATTATGCATAAGATCATACCTTTTCATGTCTGTGAAGAGGGTTCCTGTGAGACTAATAGCACTGGCATTATTAATAAGAATATCAATCCCACCGAACTTCTTAACTGCATTTTCCACAGCATCGACAACTTGTTTTTCATCACGAACATCAACAATGCAGGGTAGAGCTTTCCCTCCAGCTTCTTCTATTTCTTTTGCAGCCGTGTAGATTGTTCCAGGTAATTTCGGATGAGGATCGGCAGTCTTGGCAGCTATTACAACGTTCGCACCATCTTTGGCAGCTTTCAAAGCAATTGCTTTACCGATGCCGCGACTAGCACCAGTAATGAAGAGGGTTTGACCGGCCAATTTCCCTGTGTTAATCATATTGGCAAAGTAAATAACAATTGGACGGCACTACACACTATACAGCTGATGTTCACACAATATAGTTCCAATCACCGAGTTCCTCTGACTTCTATCAACTTGTGTGACGTGCAAGGAACCCAGAATATAATATATACGAGCACAGAAAAAGCTGAACTTCGCTTTGACACACACACACACACACACATACAGCGTGACTTGGCGGTCTCGTCGAAAAGCGGTGCTGAAGGTCAATTACACGTTACATATTAGCCACTCCCCCAGTGTCAATGTCCGGTCGAAGTATGACGTGGAAAAATATCTTCAAACCAGAAATGCATTAATCAAGCCATAATCAGCCGTGATGAAATAACTGACTTCATCTCCCCGGAAAATGTACAAAAGAAGTAAACGCTTACTGCATTGGGTATGTACAAGCTAAACGAATGTATCAATCATACCATGATCAAAGGTCACACAGGCTATGTATTTCTTGAAACGAAAGAAGTCAGATCTAAACATTCGATATGAGTCACAATTTAAACTTTGTATGATAAAAGACCACTAACTTGATGTTACCAAGTTTTAAGCGAGCAAAACTAGTGATAGGCAGGATCACTAATTTGATGCAGAAACTATTATTTTTGCTTATTATATTTTCCTGAAAAACAATTTATGATTACTTGTATTAAGTTGTGCTTTACCTAAATACAAATATTAAATTATAAACGCACTGTGCTATTGTAGAATATTCAAAACACATTTGACAAACAATTTCAATTTTGATATCAAATAAAATGGGAAAAAGCATGGAGGAAAAAAAATCTATCATGATAATTTTTTGGTAACATCAACTAATCAATTTATTAAAAAAAAGGAGATTGATAAAAAAAAACGCATTTATCAATACATTAGTTTCTCACTATTCTACATAAGAGTGCTTGTTTTCCATGTTTGTCATACTCTGAACAGGCTCACTTCCCTTGCTGTACAAGAAACTATTTATTGTTAACTTAAAATGAAAGATTGATCAAAATACCCAGTACTACTTTAAAATTATAAAAATAATGGTAAGAGAAGTAATAATAATAATAATAATAATAATAATAATAATAATAATAATAATAATAATGAATATTGCAAACTGAATGTACAAAAGTGCAAAGAACTCGAATTAACATTCTGTTTAAAATGGCTACTTTGAATACTTTCACAAAAGAGAAAGGAAACTTCAATTTATTTTCTTTCTTCGACATACTTTCTCATCATTAATAAACAAATTATAGCAGCTTACTTTTGTGTTTATGTAAAGTTAAACAGTTAAAGAAAATTTAATTTGAAATGAATTTTGCACCTTTAGAAAAAAAAACAATTCTGAAAGATTCACTTCAATTTTAGGGAATAACCTAAATAAACAAAGAAAGCGAACATACAAAATATTAATAAAATACACACATGTAATGTTACTAACCATATACTCTGCAATTTGGACATTGTTCTAAGTAATACACAACCCACTTATGCCCACTGGCAGAATTTTTTGCTATGAATATTTTCTCTTTAGCATTCTTTTATATAACTGTGAATTTTATTTCAATTAATGGAGACATCCTAAATGATTCTTGTAAGTTTTGGCATTCCTGAAGGCTGATGTCGATTAAGCGAAGATTGTTAAAACATTGTACAGTCCTAGTCAAGAGTGTATTAATGACCTGACTTCGTTTGAATCTTCATCTAAAACCGTGCTTATAAATAAAGGAGAGGAAATTTTATTTACAAAAAAAAAAAAATCCTTAAAACATAAAAAAATATATTTTACACAAAATAAAGATATATATATCTATGAACAACAATAAATATTTACAAATTCATCATAGCAAATATGTGAAAGAATTCATACATAAATATCTTCTTTAAAACTGAGCAACAAGGGGTACAATTCTTAACATGGAAAACTTCTTCTAATACACAAGGCTGTCTGTTGATATATAAAACAATCTGCATGCAATGCATTTAGTATTCTGAATCTGGAAATGAGACTTATAATGGATTTATGATCAGACCTTTGATTTAAGATTACCCATGAGTTTTTCCAGTTTCAAAGCTTTTGTCAAATCACCTTTGATTTTCAGTTTGCCAGTCATGAATGCAGATGCTGGCTTTAACTTTCCAGAGAACATTTCAAAAAACAATTTTGATTCCATTTCAAGGGTTACATCAGGATTTACAGATGGTTTCCCTCGACCTGAAGACCCAGAACCATTTTTCAAGTCAATGAACCATGGACCTTCTTCAGATCCACCTTTTACATTAAAGAGAAATACTGCATTAGTTTTAGAAACCAAACTCTCACTTAAATTTGCTTGAATGACACTAAACAACTTTGCAATATTCCCACTTTGAGCACTTGCTGCAGCATCTCTGAGTTTAGCAAATGCATTCTCTTCTAATCCATCCACAAAAGCATCCGGAAAAAGATTATTGGCATTTGCAGGATCAACCGCATACTGTGTAAAGTCAGTAATACCTTCAGCTTTCAATACTTCATCGTCTATAAGAAACTGTCCAGTTATACTTCTCGATTCCTTTGTGAGAATTGCATAAGCTGCATCTGCCACGATATCAGGTTTTCGAAAGCGACTTCCTGCATCACGGCCTGCCAACATACTCATTGCAGCAGTATCAATTGCAGTTCTAGGCCATAATGCATTAACTGCGATACCATCTTCCTTAAACTCTGCTGCCATTCCTAACACACACATTGACATGCCATACTTGGCAATTGTATAGGCACAATGACTACTAAACCACAATGGTTTCATATTCAATGGAGGACTCATATTCAAAATATGTGGATTCTTCGATTTCTTTAAAAATGGTATACATGTTTTAGATACCAGAAAGGTACCTCTAGTATTAATACTCTGCATGAGATCATATCTTTTCATATCTGTATCCAAAGTAGAAGTTAGAGAGACCGCACTAGCATTGTTGATAAGAATGTCAATCCCACCAAATTTTTTCACAGCATTCTCTACCGCAGAAGTAACCTGATTCTCATCTCGAACATCCACAACACAAGGGAGAGCCTTTCCTCCGGCATCTTCTATTTCTTTGGCTGCCGTATATATTGTTCCTGGTAATTTTGGATGAGGCTGAGCCGTTTTGGCTGCTATCACAATATTGGCTCCATCCTGCGCTGCTTTTAAAGCCAAAGCTTTACCAATACCGCGACTAGCACCAGTAATGAAAATAGTTTGTCCAGCCAACTTTCCCGTGTTTTTCAACATTCTGAACAATAACTAGAGTATCTCACAAAGATCCACGCCTAATATCACGTTCCTGAATACCTGAATAATGCAGAAGGCGGTATACGCGATGTGCTGTCACAAGTGAGTCCCGCTACTACTACAGTTATACGAAAGCCGGTGAAAGCTTGAAATGATGAAAAGAAGGAGAGAAACGCAACGAACAATTTCTTCGTGATCTATTGCTCTCACTCGTTTTTTTTTATTTCATAATGCTCGTACACAAATAGAGAGGTATAACTGCTGTACTCAACCTACGTGCAGCTCCGAATTGTTCAATAGCAAATACTTGAAATTGCATGTTCAGCTCTCATATGTACTCTTCAGTACATTGCCTTTTACGATTCCACTTCGACAGAAAAACGATGTACGCGTACATTAATATTTTGGACGTTAAAAAGCTCATGAACATTTTATTTCCTTAATTATTCGTTGAAACCAATGGCTAGTATTCAACATTGTTATGTTTGATAACATGTTTTTATACCTACTCCGTACTTGGTGAATATGGGGCGGACAGCTGAAGAGCGTGATGCGCAATGTGCACATCTTCATGTGGTGATGACAATCCATCTGTAAGCCGTGGTAAATGTGGTGATTGGCATGAAATACCAAAAATTTGATTCTGATCAGTTCTTATGCGCGAGGAATATAAACCTGAGTTTATGAAATTTAAGTGGATTACGAAGAGATAATTTAAGTGACAGCAACAAAAAAGTTCGACAAAATTTGGTGTCGTATAACAATGTTATTGAGTACATGAAGTGGTGAGTGGTATTAAAACTGCCGGAAATTAAACTGAAGTGTCAGTTATGAAAATTGTTTCTTATTTAATGAGCCGTTGCCTTTCCTTAATAATGCAACTCTGAATATGTTTTCTTTGCAGGTATTGGTGTTTTCAATTCACGCAAATTACTTTTAAAACTTGGCCTTGAAGTTGTGAAGAATTATTATTTGCATGGATGAGAGTTTGTGAACATATTGTATTGATTGTATAAAATTCAAGTCATAATTTTAAATGGTATATTTCTCACAGTTGTATTACATTCAAGAGCAAATTATTTTTTTATTGTGAGAGTGTATTTAGTGAATGACATCTGGCTGCTGAGTAATTATCATGGCAGAATTGTTATTAGATTCACAGATTAGAGTGTGGGTGTTTTTACCCATTGTAGTAATCACTTTTCTTGTGGGAGTTGTGAGACATTATGTTTCAATATTATTGGCTTCCCAAAAGAAGGTAGAACTCCAGCAGGTGCAGGACAGCCAAGTTATGATAAGATCACATAAACTGAGGGAAAATGGAAAGTACATACCCAAGCAATCCTTTTTAATGAGACGACATTTCTTTAACAATGAAGAAACTGGATACTTTAAAACTCAGAAGCGAGCAGCAGTCTCTCAGAATCCAATGACCGATCCCAGTATGATGACCGACATGTTAAAAGGAAATGTTACAAATGTTTTGCCTATGATAATGATTGGTGGTTGGATTAATTGGATGTTCTCGGGATTTGTAACTACCAAAGTCCCATTTCCTCTTACATTAAGGTTTAAACCCATGTTGCAACGTGGAATTGAACTAGTTTCACTTGATGCAGCCTGGGTGTCCTCTGCATCATGGTATTTTCTTAATGTTTTTGGTTTAAGAAGTATTTATACACTAGTGTTAGGTGAAAACAATGCAGCTGATCAGACAAGACATATGCAGGATCAGATGTCGGGTGCGGCTATGGCAATGCCTCCCGATCCCAAGGCTGCTTTTAAAGCGGAATGGGAGGCTCTGGAAATATGCGACCATCATTGGGCGTTAACCAATATTGAAAATGATCTGATGGGTTTAAGTGCTCCTACAGCTGATAGTATGTACCATCAAAATAAGATGGATTAATAATAGTATTTGTTAATATGTACTTTGTGTGGAAACATGATTAATGTGTATGACAAGATTCTGATGTTGTGTATTGAAAACTATTCTGTTGATTTTTGTTATTCAGGTATGGAATAGAAGCTGCTGAAAGAACAAAGGAATTGCTTTGTTTTAAATATTACCATTGTGCTGTGACATGAGCCTTAGTTGTTATTTCTGAAGTTTTTCTATTCCTAAATTAGTTGGATGTTGTGAAATTCAAGATGTTTATTTGAAAGAATGTTTTATTTCTATTTATTGTCTGGAGTTTGTCACGAAAATTATTGTTATCTTATGCTGCTGTCTTAAAAAAGTTATGAATTGTTGGGATTGTTATATTTGATGAAACTGGAATTAATTTTTTATGTTTTAACTTAAATATAGTTAAAACTGATATTTTGAAATCTTGAATTCTTTCAATCTTACCTATGTGTGAACCTTCAACATTGTATTATTTTAACAGTTTACAATTAATTTCAAATTATTGGAACATTCAGTGTTATTATATAAACAAAAATTAAATTTATATCAGTAAATATTTTACGAGTAAAATAAAATACCCTTGAATAGTCACAGGTTAACATTTCATCTAATATTTCAATCTTGTCAAATGAAATTCATTTACTTGTTAATAGGCAATTGTTAAATTAATTATGATTTTTTATTGTGATGTTCAAAATGAAAAATCAGTGAAATGGAGCAGTATTATCTTTGTTTTATTTTACTAAATTTTTTCTGTAATTATTTCTCCTAGTTACTGTCAACTCTAGTGATTTTCTTTGTAACAATTCTGATTATTAATTTGTCCAGAATATGTGGTGAATGCATATTGTGCATGATATGCCTTGATGTACGTGAGATTATATCCATGATGTACGTATTGATAGTGTATTATAGAAAGACACTCCAGGAAATAAAGCATTTACTGCAGCAATTAGTCAAGTTATTTTCATGCTCTTTTAATTAATGAATGAGAAAATTGTGATTTCATGAATGTCACTATTGTGGTATAAACCTGCAATTTATGAATTGTCTGTATACCAAGAAAATTTCAAAACACCTGGCTTTATCTACCTGCCTATTGAGGCTTCACTACTCATGACCTCTAAAGCACATTTCTTTCCGGATATTATAGTTCAACTACAAATACAAATTACTACACTATTTATATTAATTAATTTGTTTCAGCCACAAAAAATTGTAAATATATACAATTGTTGATGTGATCTAATTTTTAGTAACAATTCAAACATTTTTTATCTTATCTTTTGTTACGACATTAAGCACTTTTTCACAGTGAATTTTTTGCTTAACTAGCAGATTACCAATTATGGTGAAACGTAAATTTTTTTAATTTTTAATTAATAGATTTTGTACTCGATAGCAGTTCCTGGATAATGATACTCAATAGCAAATAATGTTTTGTCTCCTTGCTGAGATACTAGAGCTACAGCACCTTGCAGTAGCTTTTATAGGTTTAAAGAGGGATTGTTCTTGGCATGACTTTTGAGATTATTTGAACTGATTTCCAGTCTTTTATTTTTGATCAAATTTCAAGTCACTAAGGCAGCCTACAGTGTGGTAATATCAATATATGCTTGATATAATATTGATATGTGCCTCCTGGTTATAGGATACCAATTCATCCACTTAATCTAAATCTTCCATTGAGAATGAAACAGACTTTGCAAGCATCTTTTTTTGAGTTGATTCAGTTATACAATCATTTTACTAGTGTAGTTGCTTCCTCTTTGAAATGTGACTTTCTTTTGCTTGTCAACATGAGAATTCAAAAAAAACTTCTTGTGCTCTGTGAAATTATTAATGCTGTTTCACAGTTCATAGATTTGGTTCCTATTTTCCTCCAAAATAGTAACTATTACACCACTGGCCTGTGCTATCTTTATAATTAGGTATATTATTTTACGTAATTATTTACTCAGTATGTTTGCAATTGGGAACATTGAATGAAGCACAAACATGATTAATTTTAACTATCTTATTTAAGCCAGTTTATTACTAAAGTATACCCAGTGGTACTGTTGGATTCTTATTCCATGTTTCGTCTATGTATTTCTTTGGACTTTTATATAGCATGGTAGTTCTTTAATGCAGATTTGTGCCTTAAATATTAACATCATCACATCTTGTTACAATTTTAATATGGCTTGTGTTGGGCTTATGTGTTTATATGGAGTAATATATGTAGTATAGGGAAAGTTATGTAATTCTGCGGGAAATCAATTTTGAAATTTCAACGGTAATGCACATTTTGGGGTCCCCAGATACCAAAAAAGTGTTGGAATTTTTCAAGACATCTGTCTGGTGTCTGTGAACACTACTTGCGCCTAAACCAAAACTATGCGAAGGATTTTTTCCAAATTGAAGAAACTCCTGTCCATCTGACTCGAGTAAAATCTTTTGAGATTTTGAAAAACATTCTTCAAAATTTGGGTGTACTTTACATAAAGCCCTCCATACATTTTCAAAATTTTCTCAAAAACGGCTCTAAAATTTTTCTTTAAATTTCTTGTAGGAATAGAGTAACATACACTTATGAGAGTGGCATAGGTCCCATTTTCACAGTTAACTCAATTTTTGAAAATTTCAAATGTACAGATTTTTTTCGGTGACTTCCTACTACTACAAAATTAATGATGAAGATTTTTTCTTCAAATTCAATTTGCTCCCCATGGTTAGTTCTTTCAATAAAATCCTGTACATTTTTTGAAACATTAAGTAGTTTTCGCGCAATATTGCGTGCAATATACGCAATTTTAAAAAATTAAAAAAATATTTTCTCAAAAACTTCTGCAATTTTTGTCTTTAAGCTTTTGGTAGGAGTAGTGCTAAATGTGTTCTATAAGATAACATAAACGACATTTTGCTCTCACCTTTTGTTAAAAAAACTACAAAAATGTATTTTTTTACTTGTCTCTCATATCGTTAAAACTTATATTAGCGACAATTTATTCACAATATATTTATGAGGGCATATGCTGTAAATAATGTATAAAGTTTGTCAAAAACAACATTTTCTGTGAAAACTAGTTCAAAATTACGCATTTTCAGAAATGCTCAAACGCCATTTTCTCAAAAACGGTTCCAAATATTTTCTTAGAGCTTTTCGAAAGCATAATGCTAATTGCACTCTTTAATATGACATTTTGGTGTATTCTTTTGTTTTCTCAAAAATGTAATTTGTTTGAAAGGTCTCTCCGTTAATATGCACATTACCAGCAATTTGTAAACACTATTGTATTTGTGAGATAAAGTGCTTCAAATGCAGTTTTTGGAAAACTCAAAACTTTTTTGTGAACAAATTTCATTCAAATTTCACTGGAAATTCAAATTTGCTTCAAATTTCGAATTTCCAGTAGTGCTTAAACGCCAACTTTTCTTGCGAAATAATATTGCTCGCCATTTTCGTGCAAGTGTAAAGCCAGCTTCATAGATGCGTTACTGAGGGGAGGGGTTACTCAGAATGTTTCAATTTGTGTTACGTAATTTATGGATGGTCCCTATTTATGTTATAATTTGTTTCTCTCCTCCCCTTCTTCCCAAGTCTACCTTACTGCATATTCTGCAAGAACCTAATCTCCGGTGGAAGTAGATAACATGGTACTACTTTCGTTAAAAACTAGACGTTCACGTCGCTCAGACGATGAGGAAATCCACGGTGGAAGGGACTACAGGGTAGTTATAGGGGAATTTTCAGTGGGCAGGGACAACGAGCAACATACACGGTACATAATTTTAATACACAAGGCATTAGTGATACAAATAAATTACTAAAACAAACATTTTTTAAAAATTAAATTTAAATATCTTTCTAATTAAATTTTTAAAAATTAAAAATTTATTGCTCCCCGATTAGTCACTCTCTAATTATATCGTATCTTACGGGATACTTTCACGTTCTGGTATCTTGCTGGAGTGCCATTATATTATTGTGCGAGTTTCAAGCAGAGACCCCCCGGGATTTTTCTGGGGTGTGTGTGTTACAAGTGTAATTTTTCACCCGTCCAGCCCAGGGACGTTTTAACACCATTGTGAGCCCTTATTTGGAAGCCTATTTCCTTCTCCGCCTTTCACCAAGCTTTTCCCTTCACCCCTTCCCAATTCCGATGCTGAAATATAAAGAAAATCCAATAAATTTACATTGTATTTTGTAATTATTTTAATATTTTGAAAATACTTCATAGTATTTCAATTTAAATTATTCAAAGTAATTAAATACTCAAATTTAATCAAAATATTTGTAGACAAGTTATGATAAAAAAGTAAACTTTTCATCACTAAGTGACATTTTCACATCAACTAGCAACATTTCATATTATGAATATTATCCAATGATGCTCAACACATCACTCAGTTAGGCACATTTTTTTGCGAATAATTTAATAACACATACCTTTTGTATACGGTTTTTCATTCTATTTTTGAAAAAAAAAATAGTATTAAATAATTTTTGTAAGAACTATAGGGAGCCTTTGGGCCCATGCGTTAACACAGCACTGTTCCAGCCATTCTCGCTTCGTATGTAAATAGCACCGGGGGGCATTTATACTCATGCAGGTCAATATTTTATTGTGTTTGGGACAATGGCAGTTACGCTGCGATAATGGGAAATACTAGTCACCATTACTCCACAAGCACATTTTAATCATAACTAGTCAAAAACGTTTATAAAATGTTTAAAGTTACTCTCAATTAGTATTAAATGATTTGCTGAAGAGCTTCCCTGCCAACACATTTTAATTCTTCCAGAAATCTCCAAGTTTATGTGAGTAAGACCTTACTTTCTGAGAGCACTTTCTAACCACAATTACTCACTTTCCTGGTGCGAACGTGATAATCGTCGATGTAAACTTTCTGCCCCTGCGGCTATCACCTGGCTATTGTTACCATGTCCAATGGTAGGTAGAAGCATAAGTTTTTGCCTGTGAATATGGTCTGTTTACAATATTTTTCGACCATTTACCGATGACTCCCATCACTCCGTGACCACTATTCCCCTAACTTCCGCTACTGTTCTTAACATTCCAAAAGAATTACAAACCCGTTCTAAAGGCCCGATTGGGCAGATGTCTGATTACCGCACGTACCATATCGGTCCGCACACTCACAAGTCGTGTGCGTTGCCAATCACTGGTTGCTATGCGTCCTCGCAGAATCTCTGCTGCACATCTCGCGTCTGCCCAGTATGGAATGTCTTCCGCCGATTTCCGATGACATTCTCTGGCATTTCTGCTCTGGCGAACGGTTATCTTGCTATGAATGCTGTTCGAAACGGGTTACATTCATCTCGCACGGCGGCAGTCAGACGACTGATTTCTCATTGCTCTCTGTGCTAATAGAGATACACACAGCCGTCCGTTCTTGTGAACGAACATTAGCACAGCATTTCTTTCGTTTGATAAATAAAATTGTGTGATCCGATGTAACATTTTTCGTAGAAAAAAAGAAGTTGTTATGACTTTTGCCCCAACCCTCGTATGTATCATTTTCTTCTGGTGGGGGCTGAATCCCAAAGAACCCCCTCTCGCTCTTGGGTGCGCCGCTAATTTCAAGTTTTCAGTTTCATTTTGTCTTTGTTTTTTTGTGTCAGGGTAGAGGACCGGGAGAGCTGGCTTAGGGCATCAACTGAGGTCACTGCAGTGTCTCCGACCGGGACGTTCAAGGCAGGCGCGGGTCCAATCATTCTAGACAGGGCCATCGTAGATTTTTGTTAAATTATAAACTTATTTGTTATTATATTGTGAATTTTCAGAGCGGGTGACTAACTTTGACGCCCAATTACTCCAAAAATACTCAAATTGTCGAAAAATACAAGTCATGAAAATCTGTTTTTAACGAACATAGTTCATTAAGAAAAAAAATGTATCTTAATAATTGTTGCAGGAAAACGTCGAAATATTTTTGAATTTTTTCAGTTGTCGAAAGATCAG